CTATTAAAAATAAATAAATAAATAAAATTTTATATAAAATTTATATATAAATAAATCTTTTCACATACTTTGATTCATGATCCAATAATTACAAATCTTGTAATAAAGTTTACTATCAGTTCAAGAGTTGGAATTTAAATCCCTCCCCATAAAATGTAAACAGTTCAAAATAAAATAAAAGTAAAAGTAAAAATAAATCTTCTCTTATATATTATAATTTTGTAATTGCACCAAATTAGAAGTTTTTCTTTAGTCCGCGTCTTCACTCCAGATAAATATACAAAGTCCCAATGTGGATCCTTAGGTAGACATTCCGATATTTAAGTTAATAATAATCGAATTTATCTTTAGAATAATAGAAAATGAGCTTTAAGTCGGTTTCAATTATTTCTCTGAGTGATCTTTAAGGGATATTTATAAGTTTTAATAAGATGTCTACTTGACTTGCTTAAATAGATAATCCAAGTCTAATATGTCCTTTTATGATATTGAAACTGAAAAATCAAGTACGGATATGTTCACTATACCTGTTATACAATTATTTAATCAGGAAGTACTGAATTTATCCTTCACTTTGATTATTAACGAAACGTAGCAATATCTCTGAGGTTACTTACAAATCCTTTCCAAGTCAAAAACGTGCAAAAGAAATTAATGTTCCTCTCCCTTTCGCATCACCTTCCATTGTTGAAAAACGAGGTCGGAAAATGTTTGATTAACTTGGAGATTATTGTATTGATGATGACAAGGGCAGACCGGACATTTTAGCGAGAATTTAGGTAAGAGTCGGCTGAGATTTAAGTTTAAGACAACTGAGAAGATCACGCGTCCCAACTCTCCTCAACTCAGTGTGAGAACACACGACTCGCGTGTTTGTTGGCAGTCAGTTTTGGTTGGTGGCGGATTCGGTTGCTTTGAAGCTACTCTCTATGCTTTTGCCATTTGGCATATATGATTCAATCCTAGTCACCATCACCCACCAAATAAAATATCGAAAGATAGCGACACGTGGCCCCCATCAGTCTGACTATATTACATTACATTTTGTAAACTGGAGAGAGACAGCATGCTTCCCCACTTCATTTTACACGGCTAACATGCATTATACCATGGACAGTTCTTGAAAGTTCATATAAATGATGCCAGCAGGGTTCTGTTCTGTTGACACTAAACAATTATGCTGCTTTAGCTGTTTCACAAATGGGAGAAAACTTGGCTAGGAGGCCACATAACTGAAGATATGAACCAACTCCATCACAGGTTCTCATATGTGCAGATCCAGTTACCTGCAAACTTGTTAAAAAACCAAATGGCTGTGCTAATGGCTGGAGCTGGGACTAGTGGCTGTTGAAACTTTGCAGGGTAGTGCTTAAGCACATCATAATTGTTTTTGACATAGAGAAGAGGGTTGTGATTATATCTGTGGGGGGAATGGCCCAAAAATCATAGGGCTGTTACAGACCCACACAAGCATCATCAATTTTCCCTTTTGAGTGTGTTCTCAATCACGTTTCTTCACATGCAAGGGGTGAGGCTGGTTGCAGACCTGGAAACCAAACAAACCTTGTATCATACTGTTTCAAAATATATGAGAAACAAAAACATTCAAAGCCTTCATAAACAGTAACCTTGAAAATATATTCTCCTTTTTGACGAAACAGAATCCACTGAATGTAGCCTGCAAGTTATTCAATGCCTGCCTCATATCCCCGTCATTAGTGAAGGAAGATGCGGCTTTCAAGACCTACTGGAACATGAGGAACCTTTTTCTTTTTTTTGGATAAAATATGAAGTTTTATTTATCTAATAAAACTGGTATGTACACATAAGCAGCAAGTCATTTGCTACTTACAATCAATTACAACTCTAATCAAAGAGAGAATTCATCTAAGACTGTACTGGTGATTTTAGAACCTCTGCAAGCCCCCACTGCACTGCTATAGACATTGGCAGTGAAGAGGACTTTGGTGCTGCAAAGGCTAAAACCTTGTTCCTTGCATCAAAAAGAATATCATTCACAATCTGTGAAACAGATTTGAACTGTTGCCTGTAAATTCTGTTGTTCCTCTCTCTCCAAACATGATACATGGTAGCATTCCAGGCAAGCTTTATAAGAGCACAGTATAGGGACTTCCTTCTAATCCTTTTCACCAACCAAGCTAGTAGCCCCTGCCAAGAACAAAATAAAGGAATTCCTGCCATGCCACAAATAGTTTGCCATACTGGTTTTGCAAACTGGCATTGACAAAACAAGTGATCATTAGTTTCTACTCCTGAGCTGCAAAACAAGCAAGTGTCATCAATACTAGGAGTCCAATTCTTCTGTCTACTTCTCGTTGTTAATCTGTCCAATATTGCTAGCCAAGCCAACAAATGAAACTATGCTTGGGAACATGTGCCATGGCACTTTCCCTTGCTTAGCTTGTAAGGAATGCCATGCACTGCTTGTTTTGAACACTCTAGAGGAAGGGGCTGTCCAAATAAGTAAGTCTTTATTTCCACTTTTAGGATATAGTGAGTCCAACAAAGCCATCTGAATTTGTACAAGCTGGGGAGAACGAGCAAAAGGCCAATTCCAAAAATTCCCATTTACTACTTCTGACATTTTGGCAAATAATTACAAACCAGAATCTGGTACAATCTTAGCACCATATGTAAGCATTAGTGGATCTGAAGGATGTAATCATGCCAAAGGAAGATATCAGTGCCATCACCAAGTACATGCTGTATTAATCCTCTAGCATAGCTTCTAAGCTTTAGTATTTTCCTCCACCC